CGAGTACAGGTAACTATTTTTATAATACAGGTCTAATGGGAAGAATTGGATTTCTCTTTTTGAGGATAAAATTTTGCTCAGTTGAGGTTCATAGTTAGTGTTCTAAATCAGCAAACTCAGTTGCAAATGTTTATCTATTAATGTCAGTCTGTGGAGAGATTTTACTTAGTCTTTGAAAACATCTTTCACACAAAGGATGAGATAGGTGGCACATGAAACACTGTCAAGTTGTAACCATCTCACTGAGTTGTAGTGCACCCACAGTGGTGTAAAGAGATGACATGCCATACGTGATGTTGGGTCTTGACTGCTCTCCCAGGCTGTTGTACAAAGCAGCCACAGAAGAAGCCAATGAATGAGTGTGATCGTGCTCCAATAAAACTTCCTCTGTGGCCACTGAAATTTGAATCTCCTATATAATTTTCGCCTATTTCAAAATATTTTTGAATTTTTTCCGGGCACTTAAAAAAAATGTCCAAACCATTTGGAGCTTTAGGGCCATCCAGAAGTAGGTGGTGGGCTGGATCTGGCATATGGGCTGTAGGTCCCAAGCCCTGGGGACCTAGACATTAACACGAGTTAAGGCATGGTGCCCAGGGAGCATGGAGCACTGGGTTTCACCATTGGTATCAGAAGTGATCATTCTCTTTAGGCCTGGCTGGTGATGTGAGGGGTAGGAGTGGTGGGCCTGCTCTGAATCTCTACTCTTCGGGAGTTTGCAGGTGCCCCGCTGGGCTGTGTGAGGTGTGCGTGGACATGCATGTGTGTGTATGTATGTATGTGTATACCTGGTACACTGTTCCACACAAGTTCCCTCTGATGGGATTAGTTGGTGTTCCTTTAATACCCCTGTCAGGCACTCACATATGAGGACCTGCTGCGGGCTGGGCTCTGCTGCAGTTCTGAGGGGTACAGGGATGAAGGGGCTGTGGAACTTGCCATGGTGTGGTATTCCACCTTATGAACAGAGACGGGGACTGTAGTTTACGGAAATAATTAGCCAGGAGGTGTATTTAGTTTCTGCTGAGTTGTCTTTTGTCACTTGTCACACCAGACTTAATGTGTCCATCCTGGGATAGGTCAGCCCACTCGCAGATTCCTCCTTGCTAGCTCTCTTTTTGCTGTATTTTCCTGTCACCTGGCTACATAGCCTTATAGTCTTCGGCTATCTGGATGCTTTCTGAGTGCCCAGGTTCTGCTCCTTGCTTTGGTGACAGAACTTCATTACTGCCTGTGACCCATGAAGTCTTGGCTGCTTTCCTCCCGAGAGCCCCTCCAAGGTCTATTTCTCTCCGTCCTTGCTGTCTCCTGTGAACACCCACGATGCTCACAGCCACTTTCCAGACTCTGGTTCTTCTTCCTCGAGGCGTGGCCTAGGCTGACTTTCCCACAAGCTACTTACCTTCTTTTACACTGCTGCACCTGAATCTTCTACATGAAGTATAAACTATGTAACTTTATTTTTAAGTAGTCTTAAAGTCAGGAAAGGTTTTAAAGAAAGTCGGGTTTTGGGCAGCCCTGGTAGCTCAGCGGTTTGGCGCCGCCTTCAGCCCCGGTGTGATCCTGGAGACCCAGGATCAAGTCCCACGTCGGGCTCCCTGCATGGAGCCTGCTTCTCTCTCTGCCTGTGTCTCTGCCTCTATCTCTCTCTGTGTGTCTCTCGTGAATAAATAAGATCTTAAAAAAAAAAAAAAAAGAAAAGAAAGTTGGGTTTTATGAAAACCTTCCACATGCTCAGACCCTCTTTGTCCTCCACAATTGTTGTATCTTTGGAGACAAGTGATTTGCTTCAACCATTTTTATTCTATATTTTTGCCAACCTGGCTTTAGGAGAGTGCCTTCTGTGGGCCACTGAATCTCAGCTGTGGTTTGCCTTCCCTCTGGGCTGCTGTGGTCAGGTACTGCTGTGCCCAAGGCCTCATCCCTTAAGTTCCCTGAGATTTGGTCAACCCCTTGAGAACAGCTGTGGTCCTTGATCTTGAGCCCACCTCTTCTTATCTCTGGTCCTCCTCAGGAGTGCCTCAGACAAGCCACAGGGGCTCCAGAGCTGAGGCTTACTGTCTGCCTTACGAGGCATTCTGGGAGCTTGCATTAGGATTGGATTGGATTCTCAGAGCCAAATAGTTGTCTGCCAGTTTAGAAGTGTGGTAGTGTAGCCTGGATATCTTCTGGCCAATGGGCTGGTGGTATTTGTGCAGGGGATCCCAAAGGTGGGTATGTGTGGGGAGAGAAGCTAGCATGTGCCCTTGTGTTGTGGGTTGAATGAAAGGTATGACCCCGTGTCTTGGAAGCTGTAATTCCTTGTTAGCACTGATGTCTTTCCATCTGTTGGAGCTGGGGTCCTGATCATCTTGTCGTGTCTGGAGTCATAGCCAGCTGGGCCTCTCTTCAGCCCCATCACAGGGTTAGTCCCTCTCGTAGGAGCCCTTCAGTCCCCTCTTCTGGGGTTCCCAGCCAAAGCTAAGAAGAGAGTCCATGGCCTATTGGCAAACTTACATCCCCTGGCCTGCCTGGTCTTCCGTCAGCCTCCCTCTCTGAGGAACAACTTGAACATAGAAACTCCTAACCTCTGAAAACAGACAAAACCTCTGTGCCTTCCCTTCTTCTGGGGAGACACAGGGTGGGGCAGGATCCTCCAGCACATTATGTCATTGCTTCCTCAGCTTCTCTCAGGTCCTTGCAGTCTTCGGCTTATGGTCTCAATGCCAGAGAGTAGTGTTGATGACTCAGGGTTGGGTCTTCAGTCTCAGTTTAAAGAGCCCCCTGAATCTGTCTCCTCGTCATCCTCCTGACCACATGTCCCTCCAGTCCTGAAAGCAGACCTCTGCTTCCATCTCACCACCTCCACACTCTGATGTTTATTCATTTTACCTGCTGTATGTGTTTCTTGGTTTTCTTGAGAATGAGCTGGAACAGCTCTAATCCCAGTTTTATTACGAAGTCCTCCCTGACCACTGTTGTCAATCCTTCTCTTTGCTGAGCCACTGCACTGTGTGTGTGTTAGAACATCATGTTTTGGTATAGATGGGCCTGTGCACCGTAAACTTTGGTCAAGAGGACAGACAGAAGGGTCTTGAATTCTAGCCTGACGTGAATTCCAGCTCTACCATACCATTCACCCTAGTCTCCTTTCTCTGAGCTTGTTTCCCCATCTGTAAAAGGGAAATAAAAGTTGTTTTTCCCCAACAAGACTTCATGCCCGCACTTGGCCATAGCCCTGCTCAGTAAGCCCACACGACAGATTAATTGATCTCTTTTCCGCCAGGTACATGGCCACCTCTGGCCTGGACCACCAGCTGAAGATCTTTGACCTCCGAGGGATGTTCCAGCCTCTGAGTGCTCGGACCCTGCCCCAGGGAGCGGGGCACCTGGCCTTTTCTCAGCGGGGACTGCTGGCTGCGGGCATGAGTGACGTGGTCAACATATGGATGGGGCAGGGCATGGCCAGCCCCCCGTCCCTGGAGCAGCCTTACCTCACCCATCGGCTCTCAGGCCACGTGCATGGTCTTCATTTCTGCCCCTTTGAAGATGTGCTGGGGCTGGGGCACAGTGGGGGCATCACCAGCATGCTGGTCCCTGGTGAGTAGGCTAGGAGATGGGATCCACGTGGATGAACTCTGGATGGAAGTTTGGGTTTGCTCAAGACAGCCAAGAGCAAAGGGCTTGGTGGAGCTGGAGCTGCTGGACTGGGTTCTTTTTATGGCTCCATGCTTCTCCCTTCCTCCAGGGGCTGCTGAGCCCAACTTTGATGGCCTGGAGAATAACCCTTACAGGAGCCAGAAGCAGCGTCAGGAGTGGGAGGTGAAGGCCCTGCTGGAGAAGGTGAGCCTGTGCTGTGTGTGGTTTGGGCTGGGGTTGGGGAAAGCTTCCTGTGTCCCAAGTCTTGGGAAGAGTGGGATTCAGCGCCCTGGCCTCTGTCCTTCTTTGGGTCACTCTCCTATGGCTCTTGACCTGTTCTTGTCCCTTTGTGACACCTCAGGTGCCTGCAGAGCTCATTTGTCTGGATCCAAGAGCCCTGGCAGAGGTTGATGTCATCTCTTTGGAGCAAGAAAAGAAGGAGCGGATAGAGAGACTGGTATGGAGCAAGGCCCTGGTGCTCAAGCCTTTCTCACCTCTACAACTTCTCTCCCCCATGCCGTGTCCCCAGAAGTATGGCACAGAAGATGGGGGCTGCCACAGTTCCTGGCCTCTGAGGCTGTTCTAGGTTTCACCCTTGTCCCTCCCTTAGGGCTACGACCCTGAAGCCAAGGCTCCCTTCCAGCCAAAACCAAAACAAAAGGGCCACAGCTCGACAGCAAGCCTGGTAAAGAGGAAGAGGAAGGTCATGGATAAGGAGCACCGGGTAAATGATCATTGCAGGGGTGGGCTAGGCATCCTACTGGCTGAATCCTGCTGCTAGTGCCTCTGCCATTGCCAGCCTGCCCCATCTCATCTCGCCCCCTCTCCCTACCCAGGACAAAGTCCGGCAGAGCCTTGAGCAACAGCCACAGAAGCAAGAGAAGAAAGCCAAGCCCCTGAAGGCCCGGCCATCTGCCCTGGACAGATTTGTACGCTGAGCCGTGCTCCAGGATGGCCTGAGAACACCAATCTGTCCCCATGACTGCCTGTGGGGAAATGACCCTGTTCCTTGGAATAAGGAGAGGGCACTGTGCCCCTTCCTCAGCTGGAGAGAGACAGCTGGCTCCGGGGCAGGGTTGGTATTAAAGAAGAAGGTAGTTTTGTTATTTTTTGGATAATGTGTGTAGATCGTCCTGGGGACCTGTTCCCCTCCCTTTGCCCAGCATGGGACTACTCTAGGAACTGAGGGGGTCGTGGTATCCTGCTTTTACCCTCACCCCCTATCTTGTGAGGTCTATGACCTCAGCCGTGTTCCTTAGGGGCCTTCCTCTTTCCCATGTCCCTGGAGATGTCCTTCCCATCCAGAATGGTCTGGCAGCCTCCAGGCTCCCCAGGTTTGCGTTGTTAGACTCCTGGTGAGGACTACGCTGCACTCGAAGAGGTAGACAGACAAGTTTATTGAGGAGCTTGTGCCCCTTCCCCGCCATAGCTGGAGAGAACAATCCCGGCATTGTTTTGCTCTTCCTGGTGACCATCACTAGGTCTGGCAGGCCAGGCCCTGGATTTCTCCTGTATCCCTCCATCTTCAGTGATAGATGGAGCATTTGATAGAGGAAACCGATCAGCTGCAGCCAGTCAGGGCCCCCTGTATTGGGCCTGGGCCAGAGAAGGTTGTGGGTGTGCTGGCTCGACCCTCAGCTCCTTACTCCTCTACTATGGCCCCAGGCACTCTCAGCTATGAAGCCAGGCTATTACCCGACATCGCAGGATGCCCAAAACTTCCTGAAGCCAGGAACAGAAGGGTGCAGTCCTTTCCCCGTCAGAGCCGCCCACCAGCTTCCAGGCTTCCTGCATCTTCCAGGGGTCCAGTTTGTGGGATGTCAGCAGGAATTTCCCATAGCAGCACCGGTCCAAGGGGTAGTGGGTGGCCCCAGCCAGCTTAACACAATGGGTTGGGGTGAGACCTCCTCGTCGGGCACTCACCCCCACAAAGACATCCTCCAGTGGCAGAGGGGGTGCCCGGCTGGCCACTTTTAGGATGAGCTGCACAGCAGAAGCTGAGAGCACGTACCCTGTGCCAGAGGCATAGGGTGGAAAGGGGCCCCAGGTGGGAGGCCACTGCTCCTCTGATATCTGGTGCTTGCTCCCTGGTGTCCGAGAGGGGTGCACCCGCCAGTGCACACGGCCCAGATACAGAAGAGGCATTGGCTGGCTCTTCAAGATGGACCTTTCTTCCCACTCTTTATCTCCAGCCTTAACCTCTCTCGGAGGCTCCTTGCCCTTCTCCCATTGTTCCCAACGGCCCCCTCCTCGCCGAATCAGCTCTGATACCAGTTCGGGGACGTTGACGAACACATCATCATCTGTCTTGAGGATGTAGCGGGCCATAGAACAGTGTTTGTCTGCCCAGTTCAGCCCACTGAGGGTCTTGAGAGTAAGGTTACGGTAGGAGTCCCGGAAGGCCGCCTGTAAGATGTCCCCCTGGGCCGCTGCCTCCTGTACTAGGTCGATGTCGTGGGGTTCCTTGGTAGGATGCCACAAGCTTGGCTCTCCCAAAAGAAAGAGAATCTGCACCCGGAACCCTTGGGCCTCGCGCAGCCCGCCCCACGAAGCCCGAATGGCATTTCTTCGGTTCAGGTTCTCTGGGGCCGTGCACACCAGGATGAGCAGGAAGGGTGGGGAGCCGGGACCCCCGCACGCCTTCTCATTGGGAATCAGGAGGCGGGGCAGGGCCAGGGGCGGCCCCGGGGAGGCGGGAGCCGGGCTCAGGGAGGCCAGAGAGAGGCTCAGCAGCTCCTCCCCGATGCCCGAGGGCCCAAAGAGGGTCCAGATAATCACCAGCAGTAGGGCAGCAAGGAGAAGGCGCCGAAAGAGGCTGAGGGGCATGGCGTGGGGTAATCAGAAGTGACCTGGAGGGAAACACGAAGGCGGTTAGCGGGAGGAAGCCCCGGGTCCCTAACCGGCTGCGCCTAGGCTGGAGCGGGCGGCCGGTGCGCGCGGCGGGTACCGGTGCCGGAGGGGGCCACAGCCAGGACTGCGGGAGGTTACCTCGTCGGGGCCCCGCCGCCCGAGCTCGGTTCCGAGGTTTCGCTGCAGCGCCGGCCGCCCCTCCCCCGCCCGCGGTGGCGGCTGGGCCCGCCTCCCTCCCGGGGAGGGCGTGGGGCCGCGCGCACACCCGCCTCCCGGAAGCCGCTCCGAAGCTTCGCGGCTGCGGCGGACCCGGTACGGCAGGCGGAGCACCGGCGGCGGGAGCGGAGTCCGGAGCAGCGTTCCGCGGACGCAGAGCAGCCTCCCGGTGGCGGCGAACCTCTTCAGCCACACGCGCGCCCCCTTGCTGGGCCGCGGAGCCCAGCTCTTCCGGGTCAGCGATTTGGAGGATTTTATCCCTACCGGCAGCCCGCGACTTCCGGCCTCCGCGGGCCCGTTTTTTTTTTAAAGCAAGCCAGGGGCGGCTAAGGCCTGTAAATACCCCCCAGGCCATCCAGTGCTCAGGGTAGACACGCCTGCCACGCCGATGCGCAAACCCCTGGGGACCTCCTTTGTCTACAAACGGGCTTGGGGTCACCCTCAAGGTCGAGTGATTTTTAATTTACCTCTAACGTTAGTGGGCAGGCGCCACAGGGTCGTTTCGGGTAGGACGGCGAGTGGCAATACCACTGCTTCAGCCCACACCCGGGGCAGCTTAATGAGGCCACCCCACAAGAGGACAAACAGCCCCAGGGCCCGGTTTGATAGCTCCCCCCTCCCCCAGGAGAAAGAAGAGAAACACACAGAAGGAAGACTTAGGTGTATAAACGATTTATTAACAGACAAGGCCTACAGGTTTATTTCTTCTTGGACACACCCACGGTGCGACCACGGCGTCCTGTGGTCTTGGTGTGCTGGCCTCGGACACGAAGTCTGCAGGTGAGAAAACAGAAGGGTCACAGGTTATACACAATGCAAAGGAAGGAGGCAGAGCATGGCAAAGCTCTGGGAGCCTAGGGGCAGGGAGGGACTCCCACTCACCCCCAAAAGTGGCGCAGCCCCCTGTGGGCTCGAATCTTCTTCAGTCTCTCCAGGTCTTCACGAAGTTTGTTGTCCAGACCATTGGCCAGGACCTGGATTTGGAAGAGGGGATGAAGAATGTTTTATTCCCTGACCTCCTAGGACAAATTCTGACTAGACACACCCTGCCTCTTATCTCTCCCATCTTAATACACACCTGGCTGTACTTTCCATCCTTTACATCCTTTTGTCTGTTCAAAAACCAGTCAGGGATCTTATACTGGCGTGGATTCTGCATAATAGTGATCACACGTTCCACCTGGCAGGCAGGACAAAAGTCAGGTACAGAAGGCTTCCCTTCCAAGGCAGGCCCCAACCCAACCCGCCCTCCCTCCTCACCTCATCCTCGGTGAGCTCTCCTGCTCTCTTGGTGAGATCGATGTCTGCTTTCCTCAATACCACATGAGCATATCTTCGCCCCACACCCTGTGGAGAGGTTTTGGAATTGGGGTTGAGTCTGATTTTTGGTTCCCTTTATAGCCCCACTATTCAAAGAGGACACAAAGGTAGGGCCTGCAACCACCCAGTGTGATACTTTTCTGAATACAGAATCTAACGATTAAATACTTTTTCAGGGGTATGTCTGGCAAAAAAAAAAAGAATCTTTTTTCACACTGCTCAGCATATATAGCCATCAGATGCTGACTGTTAAAGACACTTGCAACAGCACCTAAGAACAGTACAGTATCTTCTAGTCTCTGCATCGTGGAGGACAAAGGGCTTGGCTCTCAAAACTGATGGGTACCATCTCAAAATTGATGTGGTGCTCTGGGTCTGTAAAGGTCATAATTCTTTGGGCAGAACACCCCATCACCACCATGAACAGTTTTCCAAGATCACAAACTTGATTTTGTCAGTGTCTGGAGATGACCAGGGAAAAGGGAACTAAGTGCCCAAACGAAACTGAAAAGGAACTAATGCTTAAACTGGTGGCACGGTCAGCACCAATACCGGTTCTCCTTGCCACCTGAACTCATGAAGCAAACACACATGAATTGTGAAGAATGATGTGCTGGGTTGAATAGTATCGCCCACCTACCCCAACAGGTCCATCTAGAATCCCAGGATGTGACCTTAATTGGAAATAGGGCCATTACAAATATAATTAGTTACAGTGAGGTTACACTGGATTATGACAGGCCCCGAATCCAATATCTGGTATCTTTTTAAAAGGAGAGGACACAAAGTGGAAGAAGGCCATGTGATAGGAGAAATGATGCAGCTAACAAAAGGAACGGCAAGGATAACCTTGGGTGACAACCACCAGAACATAGGATTCCCGGAAGAGCATGGCCTTGCTGACACTTTGATTTTGTATGTTTGGCATCCAGAACTATGGTAGTTTTTGTTGTTTTAAACCAACAAATCTGTGGTAACTTGTTTCAGCAGCCTCAAGAAATGGAGAGATATTTCCTCTGTGTAAAAAGTGACCTAGGGGGCATCTGGGTTGGTTAAGCATCTGCCTTTCAGTTCAGGTCATGATCTCATGGTCCTAGGATTAGGGCCATGCAGGACTCCCTGCTCCGTGGTCAATCTGCTTTTCCCCCTCCCCACCACTCAAATAAAAATAAAAAAAAAAAATTAAAAAAAAAAGTGACCTAGAAAATCAAATTACAGGTTGATTCAGAAGAGATTAGGTCTTAGACACGTGGGTAGTTTATTAAGTGTCCTACTCGTGATTTCAGCTCAGGTCATGATCTCAGGATTTTGAGATTGAGCTTCATGCTGGGTTTTCTTCAGCATTCGGATTCTTTCTTCCTCTGCCCCTCTGCTCACACATATACTCTCTCTCAAATCTTAATAACAAAACCCTGAAACCCAAAAACAACATTAGAGTTTATAGATAAAATAGTATGTCTGAGATTTAGATTTTCTTTTAAAAAGACTTTTATTTATTCATGAGACAGAACCAGGCTCCCTGCAGGGAACCGGATGCGGGACTCATCCCAGCACTCTGGGATCACAACCCAAGCCAAAGGCAGATGCTCAACCTCTAAGCCACCCAGGTGGCCCTGAGATTTACTTTTAAATGATAGTGAATATAGATGAAACAAGATTGCAAGTTTTTAGCTAGGTGATATTCATAGGGGCTAATTTTCTTCCCTCTACTTTCATATGTTTTAATTTTTCCATAATTAAGTTTTTAAAAAGTTGCTGTAAACTACCTTTTTTTTAAAAAAATTTTTTTATTTATTTATGATAGTCACACAGAGAGAGAGAGAGAGACAGAGACATAGGCAGAGGGAGAAGCAGGCTCCAAGCACCAGGAGCCCGACGTGGGATTTGATCCCGGGTCTCCAGGATCGCGCCCTGGGCCAAAGGCAGGCGCTAAATCGCTGCGCCACCCAGGGATCCCCTAAACTACCTTTTTTTTTTTGATTTTTATTTATTTATGATAGTCAGAGAGAGCGAGAGCGAGAGAGGCAGAGACACAGGCAGAGGGAGAAGCAGGCTCCATGCACCGGGAGCCCGACGTGGGATTCGATCCCGGATCTCCAGGATCGCGCCCTGGGCCAAAGGCAGGCGCCAAACCGCTGCACCACCCAGGGATCTGTAAACTACCTTTTTTTTTAAAAAAAAAAAAAAAGTAGGCTCCATGCCCAGCATGGAGCCCAACAGGGGAGAGGCACTGACTCTGAGATTAAGACCGGAGCTAAAATGGAGACAGATGCTTAACTGACAGAGCCACCTTAAGTGGCTAAGATTTTTGATAGCGTTGTTTGCTGACTGATACGGACTTGCCAACTTTCTAAATTAGATCCCTTTTCCAAGGGGACCACCTGTTTCCTCCATCCAGAAGGGTAAGTATACTCAGGGGACTATCTCTCTTATGCCCAACTCCAACCTCTTCCTCCCAGGTTTCCAAATAACTCAGATGGCAGTGTCACCCTGATTTAGAGAAGGGCAGAAGATCAGCCAACCTTAAATAGCCATAGGGAAAAGTCTACAAGTAGAAACAAAACAATTAGGAAGGGATCACAGGATAAAATAATCTTAATAGGATCTGTATTCTCTCTCATTCTCTTCTACTTACTGTCAACTTCCACTCCATTCTTCAAACTTCCCTAGGCAATTAATCTTGCTTACCATTCTTTAACCACATCTTTTGAGGAATCCCTCCCCATCCCCAGCTCCCCACACTGCACTTTGTTCCAGTTGCCAAGTATTACCCCTCCTCCTTTCTGGATCCTTAACAAAGAAAAAAAAAAAAAAGACCCCCTCCTGTTCAAGCTTCAGTTCTATCATCAGAAGAAGAGCTACCTCAATTTGCTGGCTCTCCACACAATCAGCAATAATCTCTGTATAATCTATCTCTAGGGATAACCTTTCTCAGTGATAAGCATCAGGATCCCTAAGAGACTTATTACAAAGTTCATAAAGTACCTTAAAGTCCTTTGGTTAAATTGTTTTAAGTGGATTACAAAGGCTATGACATATTTAATGAAAGTAAATACAAATCCAATTAATTTTCAGAAACAAAAAGAAAGGGTTTAACACAAGCATCCCATCAACTGCAACCATCTTCAGTACAGGCACACCTTGTTTAAGGACGCTGTGCAGATACCCTGGTTTTGTTTACAAACTGAAGGCTTGCGGCAAATCCTGTGTCAAGTCTCAGTGCCATTTTCCCAACAGCATTTGCTCACTATGTGCTCATGGCACACTCTGGTAATTCTCACGTTATTTCAGACCTTTTAATTATTTTGTTATAGTGACTTGTGATCATGGCTCCTTGAAAGCTCACAATGATATGCATTTTTTAGCAATAAAGTATTTTTAAATTAAAGCATGTGCTTTTGGGATCCCTGGGTGGCGCAGCGGTTTGGCGCCTGCCTTTGGCCCAGGGCGCAATCCTGGAGACCCGGGATCGAATCCCACGTCGGGCTCCCGGTGCATGGAGCCTGCTTCTCTCTCTGCCTGTGTCTCTGCCTCTCTCTCTCTCTCTCTCTGTGTGACTATCATAAAAAAATAAAAAAAAATTTAAAAAAAAAAAATAAAGCATGTGCTTTTAAAAGACATAATGCATTACTACACATTCAATACTGAAATACTGACTAGAGTAAATATAACTTGCATATGCACCGGGAAACCAAAATATTTGACCCACTTTATTGCCTAGAACTGAACCTACTATATAAACCTGAGATATGCATGTCTATTCACTATCCCATTTAAGCCTCATAGCAATCTTTAAAAGTACTAGTATATTTTATATTGCCTTACTAGTTTCAAAAAACAGAAAAAAGCAATCTTCTTATTTACCATTTAAGAACATTTAAGT